TAGTCGCTTTTAGGTTTGCCTTTTAAATAATAAATGAGACGAGCCTCGCCAAAGAAAAATACATAAATTGCGGGGCCCTTAATAAATGGTTAAAATGAAACATTTAGAATTTGGGATGGGCCGTTTAGTGAATTTCACGGCCCTCCTCAAAGATAATAACGCGCTAGTCATTTTAGATGCGCTTTTAATAATTTACTTTTTTAAACTCGGGTTCACATTTATGTGATCCAAATCCAAATCTCAACGGAGTCGAAATGTGTCAATAACCTCGGGTGCATTGATGTGACGTGGTTCGAGATATGTTTTCGCGACGTTGCAATTCTCGTTAAAAATAATAATAATAAAAGCGGTAAAAAGTTAAAATTTGCACATAGGTTTAACATGTATTAAAATCAGATAAATAAGCTGAATATGACATTTGAGCGACCGTGCTAGAACCACAGAACTTGGGAATGCCTAACACCTTCTCCCAGGTTAACAGAATTCCTTATCCGGATTTCTGGTTAGCGGAATTTAATACAGAGTCAATCTTTTCCTCGATTCGGGATTCAACCGCTGACTTGGGACACCATAAATCTCCCAAGTGGTGACTCTGACTTAAATAATAAATCCCATTTTTGATTGTCCTTTTATTGGAAAAACTCCCTTACACCCTTGCCGGCGCAGGTAAAAAGGACGTGTTTTTCAAGATACCCAGGGTTTCTTGGACAAGTGTTAGAGGATTCTTCGTACAACGGGTATTCTGGAGACCAACAGGGTTGCTTTCACTACTTTTCAGTTTTCTGGAGCTAACTTCACTTGATATGAGGCTTATGAGAGGCGTAGGCCTGTTGGTGCAGCACCCCTTACCTGGCAGCAGCTCTCCATTATCTTTTTGGAGAAGTATGTGCCATAGTCTCACGAAGAGGAGCTGCACAGATAGTTTGAGTGGTTGCGTCAAGGAGAGATGACTGTGACCCAGTATGAGATGAGGTTCTCGGAGTTAGCTCGTCATGATGTTTGGTTGGTTCCTACGGAGAGAGAGAGGATTAAGAGGTTCATTGATGGCCTCACGTATCAGCTTTGTAATATTATGAGTAGGGAGAGAGTGTTTGGTGCTACTTTTGAGGAGGTTGTAGACATTGCTCGTGATATTGAGTCAGTTCGTTGCCAAGAGAGAGATGAGAAAGAGGCCAAGAGGCCTCGGGGATCTGGTAGTTGTGGTGGTGCTCCATCGAGGGGTCAATTTCAGTACGACAAAGGCCGTCTATTTAGACATGCTCAGTCAGCTCGCCCAGGTTATCGTGGGGCGTCATCGGGTCATGGTTCTCACAGTTCTCATCAGGGCCCGTCATCACTTAGTGCCCTTTCAGCCCAGAGTTCATCCCGTGCTCCATCAGTTCAGGACTCTTCTATGCTAGGTGCATCTGCTAGTCATTCCGGTGCTAGGGGTTCCCTTCAGTCCCCGTGTCTAGCACCCGTGAGTTGCTATAAGTGTGGAGAGTTGGGTCATATGTGGAGGCAGTNGTTCGCGGACTGTAATACAGAGTCAATCTTTTCCTCGATTCGGGATTCAACCAGTGACTTGGGATACCATAAATCTCCCATGTGGCGACTCTGAATTAAATAATAAATTCCGTTTCGATTGTCCTTTAATTGGAAAAACTCCCCTATGCCCCTGCGGGCGCAGGTAAATAGCACTCCGGGTAATTCTTCGGGCCAATTGCCTTTTGCCGCTTCAAACCTTTTTTGAGGTTTTGAATAATCACCTTGTTCGTTGATTCCGCTAGACCGTTTGTGCTCGGATGATAGGGCGAAGATGTGATTATTTTTATTTTTAAATCTTCGAGGAACTTTGTAATTTTTGCACCGATAAACTATGGCACATTGTCACATGCAATCTCCTTTGGTATACCGAATCTGCAAATTATATTCTCCCATAAGAAATCGACCACTTCGCGTTTCCCAGTCTTCTGATAGGGACCTTCTTCCACCCACTTAGAAAAAAAGTCAGTCAAAATTAAAAGAAATCTTACCTTTCCTGGAGCTGGTGGTAGTGGTTCGACGATGTCCATCCCCTATTTCATGAATGGCCATGGGAATAGAACCAAATGTAAAGGTTCTGGCGGTTGATGTACTAGTGGTGCATAGCGTTGGCACTTATCACATTTTCATACGAAATCTTTGGCGTCATGTTCCATGCGAGGCCAGTAGTATCCTGCCCGTACCAACTGCAGTACCAAGGAATCTACGCTCGAGTGATTTAGGCATATCCTTTCATGGACCTCTCTCATGACGTAGTTAGCTTCGAATTCCCCTAAGCATGGGGCCAATGGGCCTTGGAAAGATTTTCTATATAACTGTCCTCTTTTTAAGCTATATCGCGTTGTTTTGGTGCGCAACACCCAGGATGCTTTGGGATCTTCGGGCAACTTCCCGTGATCGAGATAATCGATAATTTCATTTCTCCATCGAATTTACCTCATAATAACCATCCGTATCCAAGACTGCGTTCATCAATTGTACTACCGTCCCAAACTACGATCCCGGACTCTTATCCCTTCATTTCCATTGATGATCCTAAGTTCGCCAATGCATCTGCTTCTGTGTTATCCTCCCTCGGGATATGAGTAACTGACCACTCCCGAAATTATGCTAACACAACTTGAACTTTTATCACGTATTGTTGCATGCGTTCTTCTTTGGTGTCAAAGATCTCGTATACCTGATTTACCACCAACTATGAGTCACATTTGATTTCTACGACCTCGGAGTCAAGTCCTCATTCCAATTCGAGCCCTGCAATCAAAGTTTCATACTCTGCTTCATTATTAGTTAGAGAGATTGTTCTGATGGCTTGCCTTAGGGTTTCCCTTGAAGGCGTAATTAAGACTATTTCTAGCTCGGACCCTTTTATGTTGGAAGCTCCATCCATGTATAAGGTCCAAATCCCCGATGTCGATTCCGACACCATTACCGCCTCTCTATTTGCCAGAGACAATAATCCCAGACTGAAATCGGCCAAGACTTGTGACTTAATTGCAGTCTTTGATTTATAATCTATGTCGAATTCACTCATTTTAACGGCCCATTTGGCCAATCTTCCTAAGAGCTTGGGTTTATGGAGAATGTTCCGCAAAGGGAAAGTAGTCACCACGGCTATCGAATGGCATTGAAAGTAGGGCCTCAACTTGCGAGCGGAAACTACGAGAGCTAAGGCCAGTTTCTCCAAATATGGGTAGCGAGTTTCTGCTCACGTTAAAATTTTACTAACATAATAAATGGGAGATTGCGTACCTTCGTCCTCTCGGACCAAAATCGCACTTACCGCAACTTTCGAGACCGTGAGCTAAACTAGCAGCATTTCACCTTCTTTTGGTTTTGAAAACAATGGAAGGCTTGATAAGTACTTCTTCAAATCCCTCAAAGCCTGATGGCACTCCAGTGTCCATTTGAAATTATTTTTCTTTTTGAGCAGTGCGAAGAAGCGATCACATTTTTCTGATGATCGGGAAATGAACCTGCTCAAAGCTGCCAATCTTCCTGTGAGCCTTTGGACTTCCTTTATGTTTGACAGCTAATCTGACATGTCTTCTATGACCTTAATTTTATCGAGGTTTACCTCAATTCCCCTTTGTGAGACTAGAAATCTCATAAACTTACCAGAACTAACCCCGAACGCGCATTTCTCGGGGTTGAGCTTCATATTAGGCTTCCTTAGTATGTCGAAAGTTTCTTGCAGATGTTTGAGGTGGTCACCTACATTCAAAGACTTAACGAGTGTATCGCCTATATAAACTTCCATATTTTTTCCTATTTGCTTTTCAAACATCTTGTTCACGAGTCGTTGATAAGTGGCTCCGTCGTTTTTCAACCCAAAAGGCATCACATTGTAACAATACATACCGAAATTTGTTATAAACGAAGTATTTTCCTGATCTTTTGGGTTCATCTTGATTTGATTTTACCTGAAATAAGTATCGAGAAAACTTATTAACTCATGCCTAACCGTGGCATCAATAATTTGATCGATATTTAGCAGTGGGAACGAGTCTTTCGGGCATGCCTTATTAAGATCTTTTTAATCCACACACATGCATAATTTGTTGTTCTTTCTAGGAACTACTACTACAGTAGCTAGCTAGTTCGGATATCTCACCTCACGATCGAACTGATATCAAACAAACGGGTTACCTCTTCTTTGATGAATTTATTCCTGGCTTCAGCAATAGGGAGCTTCTTTTGTTTTACCAGAAGTATGTTGGGATCCAAGCTTAACTTGTGCACGGTTACCTCTGTCAGGATACCTGTCATATCATCGTGCGACCATGCAAAACAATCGACATTAATTTCAAGAAATTCAATAAAATCATACCTGAGCTCTGGGTGTAGTCCCATCCCCAATTGGAATTTCCTTTCTAAGAATTCTTTGAACAATGAAACTTGCTCCAGTTCTTCTACCGTGAACTTTGTTGCATCCGTCTCTTCTTGAACTTGAAAATATATATAGGGGCCTGACACTGTTTCGATGCCTCTGTCCTCGAGCTCACTTTTTCTAGTTCGGGGGTAGGTGTTGGTTCCTATAATTGCTATACTGCGTGTTCCTTTCCTTTGCTACTAGAGACCGAAATTGCACTCATCTCTCTTGTTGTCGGTTGATCACGCCTTATCTATTTGATTCCTTCGGGTGTTGGAAACTTCAACAATTGGTGATATTTTGAGGGCACAACCTTCATCTCGTGTAACCATAGCCTTCCAAGGATGATATTGTATCCCATATCACCATCCACTACTTCAAAAAGGGTTGTTTTCGTTACCCCTTCAGGGTTCATGAGCAATAAAATCTCTCTCCGGGTCATCACGCTCGCGAAGTTGAATCCGGCTAGGAGCTTTGTGGACGAAATAATGCTTCCGATAAGTTTAGATTGGTCTAATACTCTCTATTGTATGATATTAGCCGAACTTCCTAGATCCACTAGAACACGTTTAATCTTAAAATCTAATACATTTAAAGAAATTACCAGTAGTAGCAATCCGTCTGCGTCGTCCTCATTAAAAGTGATGTCATCTTCTTGGAGCCTTTTGCTTGTAGTTATTGATACTTTCATCTTCTTTGCCACCGAAAAGGTGACCCTGTTTATCTCATTCCCTCCAAAGATCATATTGATCATTTGGCATGGTAGTTCCTCTCCTGCTTTCGAGGGTTCTACGTTGTATCTGTTATGACCATAATTGTTCATAGTTCGGTCACTTAAGAACTCTCTAAGGTGACTATTCTTCAATAGTGTTGCCACTTCTTCCTAAAGGTGTCGACAGTCCCATGTACGGTGGCCATTCATTCCATGGCATTCACACCATAAGTTGGGATCTCTCTGGCTGGGATCAGATCTCACTGACCTCAAGAACCGTGCTTCTTTGATGTTTCTCAAGGCTGACACCAATTCCACCATACTGACGTTGAATTTGTATTTAGATAACTTGGGGTAAGAAGGATCCCATGACCCTGACACTTCTTTATCCTGTAGTGATCTGTTGTTCCGGCCACGATCAGTTTTTCTATCAACGATGAACTTGTCTGCTGGCCGGAAGCCTATGCCACAATCTTCGGTCCATTCGTAGAGCAAAATTTGGCCCTTCAAAGTCCGTTTGTCCGAGTCGTAATCATCTTTTGATTTTTCTCTATTCTTATCTTGTCCTTTGGTTGATGACGGAAAACCAACCTGATCATCTTCGATCCTTATTTTGGACTTGTACTGGTTGTAGACATCCGCCCAAGTCATTGCTTGAAACTCAAGAAGGCTTTCCTTCAATTTTCGGAAGGCGTCTGAACTTCTCGGATTCAGTCCTTTGGTGAGTGCTTCAGCTGCACATTCATCTAGGACAACCGGGAGCAATATTCTTTCCTTTTGGAATCGAGTAATGAATTCTCGCAGTAACTCGGACTCTCCCTGTGCAATCCTGAATATATCGTCCTTTTGGGCTTGTACCTTTCTGGCCCCGACATGGGACTTAATGAAAGAGTTTGCAAGAATTTCAAAATAATCTATGGAATGCTCGGCTAACAACGAATACTGCATCAAAGCTCCCCTCGTGGGAGTCTCTCCGAATTTCTTTAACAACACAGATTTAATTTTGTGAGGAGCTAAATCATTTCCTTTTACCGCCATTGTATAGGTGGTAATATTGCTCCTAAGGGTCCTAGTTCCGTCATACTTTGGCACTTCAAGCATTTTGAACCATTTCGGGATCAATTCTGGTGTCACACTCGGCTTGTATGGCAATTGAGTGTACTTCTTTGAGTTCGGGCCCTTTAGTACTGGTGGCTCCCGGATTTTGTCCATGCGGGCATTTACTTCCCTCTTATACCGTAAAAGTTCATTNCCCCCCCCCCCAGCCCCATCGGAGGCAACTTCGTCTTACACCCCATGTTTTCGTACATGAGAGTACGTCATAAGTCAATCGATATAAGCTCAGAAATGAGATTATATTTGGAAGCATATAAAGTAAGTTAATCATGTTACCTTGGAGTTTACAAATATTTAAAATCATTAATAATAAGTACCAAGAGGGTTGGAAGGCTTAGAAGCTAAACGAATTGAAAAAAATAAGTCTCGTCGAAAGTCGACAAGTTTAGAATGTTATAACATGTACTTTTGGGTGAGACTAGTGTTCTTAACATGATAAGGAGGTTATGCTACGAGTTATTTTAGTCGTATGATAGTCATTTGCTACATTTTGAAGTCAAGCAAGTTGTGGAACAAAAGTTGGCAAAGGTCATCACAAGTTACATTCATAATGTGTTAAATATTAGGTTAAATGTAGCTGAGCTTTTCTCTCAATATAATTAATTGGATGATATACCTACCAAATTGAAGATCTATGAGTCTAGTTTCTAATGCATTAAATCGTTTGTCGATACGATGTCGGAGTTGAGAGGTATTTGCGTTTTTGCGAGACTGCGCAAGCAACTCCCATGGGACCCACTTAGGCGGTGCTCGACCTACTTCACTTTAAAATCAATTTGGATGCCTAATTTTTGCTCATTTTAGACTCAAATTCGTATCCAAACTTCTCCTAACCCTCCTAAACATATACCATAAGGGTTTGAAGTGATATCAAAGTGATTACACCATATTTCAACATCAAAAGTTAGTTCTAGTGAAGAACAACACCTCTTTGAAGTTGTGTTGTCATTGAGAATAGTTGTGGGCTATGTTTGGCTGAAATTTCAAGTTGTTGCTATTGGATTAGGTGAGTATAAAATCCTACTAATTTTGCTTAAGCTTTCTTGTATGTTGGTTAAGTTGTTAGGATGATAAACTACAAGATAATACTTGGATTAGCTTAAATCACTTCTATGGTATTTTATTGCAATTGAGGGCTGTTGTAAGCTAAATGTAATTTGGATTTTAACTTAAAGCTACTGTAGGATGTATGTATATTGTGTTCTTGCATGTGCTTAAGGTTATCTTGATTTTAATTAAATTAAATGGATGGACTAGACATGAACTAGTGAATAAAGTTGCTAATTGAGGATAGTTGGAGTTGTGAATTGTTTGCGTTATTATAAATATATGGTATAAGGATGGAATAATTGATTAATGACTTTATTATCATGTTAATTATACTGTTAAGTTGAATTAAGAAGTCTATAAGTGGTGATATGAGGTATACGGATTCCAATCGGAGCTTGCCGCTCATCATGAAGTAGTTGTGACTTGTTGTTGCTAAATGGTGTCTTGTTATTAATATTTATATGTTGTTGGATTTCTCTATTTGTTGTTGTTGGTATATGGTATTGGAGGAGGACCTTGTTATAGGAGAGATGCTGCCCAAATTTACATAAACGAGCTACTAGTTTAAGTTGTGGACTTAGCCTTTACTGAGCACTGATTTTGAATCTTCTTATGCTATGTTAGATTGAGTTGAGTTGTTTGAAAAATTTCTTGGGAGGTATTAAGGACTCAAAGGAGTTAAAGTATGTTAAGACACTTCCTTATTTCTTTTGGCATGATCTAAAGTTAAATGAACGAAAACGATACGCTATTCCATAATGGATCTACTCATATAAACTAAGGTTGTCCATATTGTTCTTTCCTTATAAAGTTATTCTAAGTAAGCATGTATGATCCTTGAATCCTAATGAGGTTCATATTGATGGTAAGGATGTCCATAATGTTAATCGAATGTGCAACGACCTTACGTCACTCCGAAAGGTTTAGAACGTGATTTCATGAGTCCAGCATGCATTATATATAGTATCTATTTTACTCTACCGAGCCGTACTATAGTCGGCCGGGTACAACACCTATTGTGCAACCATTGATCAGTTGGGTTTACCGAGCTTCACGTGGCCGGGTACGATTCTACCGAGCCTTATGATGGCCGATTATGTTTCTACCGAGTCCTCTTCGAGGCCGGGTACAATATGATGATGATGATGCCCATAGAGGCGTATGTTTTTAAAAGTTTATGTATATGTATGTATCATTCATTTTATGTCAGTAGCCCTCAGAAGCACTCGGATGTTACATGTTGTATCTCATCTATCTCTTTTTATATTACTGTTCTTATTTATGTTTTCCTGCCTTATATATGCAGTACTTTATTCGTACTGACGTCCCTTTCGCCTAGGGATGTTGCGTTTTCATGTTCACGAGTCCTGACAGACATGTTGACAGTCATCCTAGTAGGCTATCTGCCTAGCGAAAGGTGTTGGTGCACTCCACTTGCTCCGGAGTTGCCTATTTGGTCAGTATGATTTGGACATGTATTGATTGGTATGGTGGGGCCCTGTCCCGACCTTTATGATGTTTGTGTACTCTTAGAGGCTTGTAGATAGATGTCATGTATATGAAAGATTGTATGGCCTTGTTAGCCTATGTTTAGTGTACGAGTGATCATTTTAGTCTTATAGGCTCGTATGTTACATATATAAAATACATGTTGGGTCATCCTATATCTAGTATTTTCTTATATTTTATTCTGGTTATATCACGATGGCCTTTCAGGCTCATTTACCCTTGAGAGTATGATAATTAAGATACGTTACATTGGTACTCAGTTGAGTTAGGCACTGGGAGTCTATCGCGGCCCTTCAGTTTGGGTCGTGACACTTCGCCCCTGGGACTGCTGTTGTCGACCCTCTGCATTGTTTGATTTGTGGGAACACCGGGGGGAAATGGATATCGTATGTTTGCATTATTCTAAGCCCCCGACAGCGCATGCTTCAATTCCTTCATAACCTAATCTTGTCGCGTGAGATGGCCTATAATGTTCGCTTGTTGATCTTGCAAGACCCTTACCGTGTCAACGACATGCTACTCATCAGCATCATCGGGAGTTGTTTCCCGAGCATGTCGAGGATACTTCTTGTCATGCACTGGTGTGGCTCCATTCCCCTCATTGTGGGTGTCACTGAATGATTCCCCGAAGTGAGGTTGATCTCCTCGAACCTCGGGGTTGTGCATGTTGTTAACAGTGTTATCTGTCATTTTTTATGATCTTTTCTAAGACAAAATAATCAAAGCACGTTAGTAAAAAAGGCAAGGATCAATTTAGTTGCACGACTGTCTAGGCCCCACGGTGGGCGCCAAACTATTTACCCGTAAAACGGTACAGTTGAATTTATACGTAGTTTCTAGACAAGTGAACTAACTTGATCCTGAAAATAATAAAATAAGCTAAGAACTATGTAATACTTAGCCTTAAAATGTAGATGAAATAGCAGAAATGACAATTTCGAGAACAAGGTTTCCAGGCACGACAACGATGAAATCAAAAAGCGAGAAAGTAAAATTGTATTAAGCTTTGTATAGAATGCAGTGTAAGTTTGCCAGAAAATTTATATCCATTACAATGATAACTAGGCTCACTATTTATAGTTGTGACTAGGGAAGCGGGTCCTTGGATTGTGCCCTCCTTTAATGCCAGTTACGAGGGTTATTGATGAAGANTTATTCAGTAATACATGAAATAGCTTAAATACAATCAATAAAAGGAACAAAAAAAACGAAATTAAAACTTCAAAATTTCATTCTTCATATGTATTCATGCTTCCACATTATTAGCTTGCAATAGCTAGTATTACAGTCGTGTACCTGGTATTGGAAACAAAAGAAGATGAAGATGAGAATCAGCAGCAGTAATAACAATACAGCACAGCAACAACAACCCAGCAACAGTAACAACCCAGGAACAGAGTTTGCAAACCGGCGGAGTAGTAATCCCAAAACAGAAACTTCAAGCTTCGATGAAACAACAACAATTAATGCTGATTTCAAACAATGAAAGCAAGTAGAAGATTTTTTTTTAGTTTTTTATTTGAAAGTTTTAATATTTTCGGAATTTTTCTTTCTCTCTTAAATATTCAGCTCTTTTTTTCTCTCTTATTCTCTCTATTCTTCTCTGTTCGTCCGTCTAAAAACTCCCCTCCCAAAATCTGATCAAGTTTCTCTATTTATTTTCCATCCCAAACCCTTTAATCCATTAATAAAACCATACTTTCTCCTACCAAACCCATTATCTTTCCACTCATCCCCCACTACATTAAACAAATATATCAACTTCACCCCATTACATCTTATCCCTCATGCCTAACATAAACAAATACAATATCCCCCCCCCC